CCCAGACGCCCCCAGGTGCGCATTTCGGGGGGTGGAACTCAGAGGCCGCCGTCGCACTGGCTCCTAATCTCGTCGAGGGGAGGCCCTCCCGCGCGGGTCTCTCTCGCAGCCCCAGTCCGAGCCCCGCCTTCTGACCGCCCCCCAGTCTCAGTTCCCCTGCCCGAGAGCACGTGGGGAAGGGGATCGCGGGAAGAGGAGGCGTCGCTTCTCCCAAGAATGGCCGCAGAACTGGGGCACCGTGGGGAGCGTGGCGGGGCCTGGGTTAGTCCGAAGGCGGGGAGGAGAGGAAGCCGGGGCTTCGGGGGATGGGGATGGGAGGGGTCACTCACCTCTCCCTCGGCGAGTGGGGGAGCCGGGCCTCAGCCCCCGGCTCTGGGCGGCTTAGACGGCCACAGCCAAGAGGGAGGTCCCCAGGCCCCAGGACAGTCTCCCTCCAGTTTGTCATAATTGCTTTTCACCCGATCGCTTTTTTCTCTCCCCACCGCCACCCCGGTCACAAAGAGCCTTAATCTCGGAGAAGACTGCGGGGGAGGGGGGGACGTGTTGGGGGTCATTTTCCGGCGGGGGTGTAGGGGGAGGTGCGCGGAGGGTGGTCTGGAGCCACAGCTGATAACTGGCAAGATCAATGGGATTTTAAACTCAGGGGCAACGCCCAGCAATTACCTGAGGACAAAGGGTTGGAGCCCCCAGGTGTGGAGGACTGGGCTGGGGGGAGGGGGTGCTGGGAAGGAAGTGTGTTGGGGAGGGGCAATTCTTACAATCCCTCTGATTTCCGAAGGAATTTGAGACATCCTTTAAAACTCTAGACTGCCTCCCCCTAGCCAGGCTCTCAGGCCCGCCCCCACCTTCCCTGGCTTGGGTTAGAGACAGCTTCAAAGGTGGACGGGGCCCTTTGTCTGGCCTCTGCTTTCTTCCCTGCCTTTCTGGGCCCCTCCCTCCCTTTCTGTGACCTCCCCAGCACAGACAGGCCTCTGGGGGCCAGCTCCAGAAAGCCCTCACTGTTTCCTTTCTTGCTTTTTGAGGTGAGACCTGGCCTAGAGAGACAAATTGGGGAACAGTGAGGGAGGAAAGCAGCTTGGAGGCTTATGCCATCTTAGAGTGCCCGTGCCCCACCCCAAGTCCAAGCCTGGCAAGTCTCAGGCCTGCTTGTGGCCTTGGGTCCCTGGCTTACCGCGCCATTTAGTGCCTCTGCAGACGCCGGCTCTTCCCCCACCCCAGGGTGCCTCTTCATGCTCTGGGGAAGTCTGTTCATCTCATTCCCTCTGAGCTGGTGATTTCAAAGATGCTAACAGGGAGAGGTTGGAAGAATGGATCTCTAATCAAGGGACCTAGGAGGGGTGTAAAGTATATGAATGTGTGGTAGTAAGGAGGCTTCCTGTGGGCCTCAGACAGCCCCGGAGCTGGCTACAGCACCCTGGTTGCTTCTGTGTGCCCCAAGAAGGCAAGTGTGCGGGTGGGGTGGGGTGGTGAGGGGGGGAGAAACAGCAAGGGAAGACTGAGGGCAAGATGAACCTGCCCGTCTCGGGAAGGATGTGACAACATGGAGGGAGGTGGCAGCAGTGTGCCTCAGATCCTGTGCCTGTTTAGGATTACCAAGAACTCCAGCTAAGAATAGCCTCCATATTGATCTCGCTTCCCTGTCCTGCCCTCCAAACAGCCAGATGAGGCAGGGGGGAGCCAGAGCAGGAAGTCAGAGGGGGAATCCACTCTGTTTAGTCATTGCAAGCTGGCTTCTACTTAGGTCGTTCCGTTCAGCCCTGGCCCTGGGACTCCAATGGTGGTGACTTTCTAGTCACCAAGCTAGAAAGCTTGCCTCAGACCTTGGTGTCCTCAGCCTCACAGCCCCAGCCACCGCCCCCCCTTTTTGAAGCTCTTTCCTCAGCCTGCCGCAGGCTGTCCTTTCTTCATTCTCTCTGTCTCTCCCTGCTCGGACCTTCTCTTTCCTGCCTCTTCTTCATAGAAACGTTCCCTAAGATCTCTGCCATTCTCCTCTCTCCTGTTCTTCACGCTGTCTCTCTGAGCGACCCAGTCTCAGCTCTCGCCCCCTTGCATATGACTGCTTTCTCTTCCAAACTCTGGAACACCCCTGCAGACCTCACTGGATGTCTCAGTCACTGCAAAGCTTTCTAAATGGCCTCTCTGCCTCCTAACTCCACCACCCACCCCTACTCCAGGAGGTGAGTTTGTTCAGCTTGCCTTACCCTACCATAAACCACAGTTCTGTCCATGTCACACGATCACTAGCAAACTTAGCATGGTTTTCAAGGCTCCTGCAAAATCCTAACTGAAGGCTCATCCAGCCCCAGCCCTACAACACTTCAAGGACACAGGCAAAACTGCAACCCTTGCCATTCAGCAAGCACGCGTGTCCATCTTTGTTCATCAGGTTCCCGCTGCACTAGCGTGCCCTCCTCCAGAAAGCTTGCATGTCCAGACCACAGCCACCTTGCTTGCCCATGGACATTCCCACTATGGTGGGGGGGAGTGGCAGTTGCTACTGCGCTGGTCTTCCAGCTGCACAGCCCTTGCCCTTGCCCTCTGGCACATATCACAGCTGGTCCAGACTGTCCTTATTTAGGCTTGTGTCATGGATCTGCTAGATAGCAAGGACCTCAGATGTGGAAATAGTCCGTCTCCGCACCTCCCGCCCCCCAGTATCCAGCACAGTACATTACACAGAGTAAGGATTTATCGAGGGAATAAACCATAAGAAGGCCCTGCAAGACCTGGGAGGCCCAGCACCCTGCAGTCCCTCATGGTGGAGGCAGGATGAGAAGCTGCAATCCGGCCTTTGCCTTCCATCCTTAGGTGGACCTGGGCAGGGAGGGTCCTAAGCAGTTAATCCAAATATTTATCTGTTCCTTACAATGTACAAGCACTGTGCTAGCCCTCCAGTTAATTAAAAAGATGGACACTATATTGCATCATCCCCTGTCAAGCTCTCAAGATTTGTGACATTTAACTGGGGGGATAAACCCGTGAAAAGACAGTTCTTTCGTGGGACTTTTGGAACGCTCTCTCTTACACCTAAGATAGCAAAGCAGCGTTTGGTACATCCCCAAAGAGTGAAGGAGGAGATAAGAGCTGTGGGAAATAAGGATGCTTATCTGCACTGCAAGCACGCACTGCTTGCTCCCCTGGAGCCCCTCACTTAGGGGATAAGATTATTCCCATGTCATGTATGGGTGAGCTCGAAACACAGACGTTAAATCACCCATAGTCACAGCCGGTGAGCCCTACAATCTAGATTCTGCCCTGTCTTCAACACCCCTAGTGGGATTTCTCCACTCCCCGTCCATGCATGGTGGGTTCTTGGGTGGAGAGTGCATGGGGTGGGACAGTTGGAAGGGCTGGGGTTTGCATGATCTTTAAGAACAAGCAGGATTTCAGCCAGCGGAGAAGACACGCAAAGGGAAAACACTGAGTGTGAAAACAGCATGAGAAGAAAGCCCTTGAAGCAGGGAATCGTGTGGTGTGCTCAGGGGACGGTGAGCAGGTGATTGGTTTGGCCAGCACCGAGTTTGCACAGAGCCGCGGCAGGAAGTGACTGGGTCACATTTTGGAGTTTGGTCTTCATGCTTTGACAGGGAGGAGATAGTGAGGGCCCTGAGAAGGGGGATAAGCAGATGCAATTGTGAGTTCGGGTTTGGGGCAGAGGCTGGTCTGGTGGCAGCATGCAGGGAGGGAGGCGAGGCTCTGGGTCTAGGGGAACATGGTTTCCAGACTCTAATGAGAAAGGGTCCCTTGTAGACTCTCATCCTTCCTTTTATTCCTCTGGCACTGTTCCTCATCACCTTTCCCTCCTCCTTAGGTGCCCAGGTGCCCTAGTCAGCCTCTCCAGCAGTTAATGTTTAGACAGCATAAGCACAGGGGGGCATCCCTGGTGCTCCCCCTCCCTGGCAGGTTCATGCACGGGGCGGGGCAAGGGGCACTGGAGTGAGACAGAGAGAAAGGACAGAGAGCCTATTGCACAGGCCCTGGGGAGGGGGCAGGCGGCAGGGCCGGAGTTCAGTCAGGGCACCAGTGACCTTGCTGGGAAAAGGAGAAGTAGAGAACTAGATGTACTGGGCCTGGGACCGCCTGTCTGGGAGCCCCTTTTGTGGACACAAGCACTCATCCTCAAGGCCTCAAGGTACTCCTGAGCTTAAAGGTACGCTAGTGCTGTCACCAGCCTTCTGGGTCTGGCCAAGCAGTGCCAAGGAAGCCCACCTGGTATTCAGTGTTGCCTGCTTCTGGGGGAGATTTTTGCCCCCCCTCTCATCCCAGCTTAATGGGGAGGCAGGCAAGCAGTGCGGGGAGGATCGGTCAGCTGGCCTTGGGGCGCCTGGGGCCTTCCCAGGAGGACGAGCAGGAGGCAGAGCAAGTCTCTCGGTGGGATGAGGCCAGAGGTGAGGTGGAGGTGGAGCCCGGAAGGCTAGGGAAGGGTC